AAAACAAATATTAAAAAATTCTGTGTGGGAGGAGTGTTAATTAACTTTAGTTTCCTACACTGAAGCTCACTAAAAGGGAAATCCTTGTTTATATGTATTCATATAACCGAGACTAGTAAACAGATTTTCCTATGAYATTTGCAAGATGAACTAGCCTTATATCTAAGTTGGCTGATTCAGGAGGAAAAAAATCAGTGGGCCTAAAAAAATAATTTCTAAGGATGATGAAGCTCCTTGGTATGGATTGTAATACTGCATTTGGCAGATATTTTCTAACTATTATTGCCTGCTGAATATTTTAAATCTGGAGTAAATTAATATGTATGCCAAGCCTAAAATAGACATTTTTTAAAAATTTATGATTATTTTTGTTAAAGATGTTTTTGTCTTCAATTTTCCTTTTCAGTCCTTTTAAAAGGTTATCTTCAGTTTTGAAATTGGCCTTAAATGTTAGATATTTTGTCTCTGACCTGGTAACAAAATGCAAGATATGGAAACTGGATGCAGAGCCCAGTAAGTCATAGCACCATCCAGAAGAGGCAAGAGGATGCTGCTGTATTCAGTCAGGACCAGCAAGCGATGAATGGCAGGTCCAGTAATAGAGTTACTCTAGCATTATCATCCTCAGGCAGATCCTCTCTATTCCTCAGGTCTAAAAACACTAAATTAGATTTTCTAAAAGGTGTCTAAAGACATCTTTCATTAGTTCAGGTGATAAACATAATGGAATGTAATACAGTGTAACTCTGTCATTAGGGAGTAATACCARGTGTATCCTCCCAATGCAGGTCCAACATAACTTTAAAATAGTCAATGGGACTGAAATTTGTAGAGTCATGTACCAGGCCTATTTATAGAAAGATTGCATGCCTTTAAGAAGACGGAAAAAAAAATCAATTAATCATTTCAAGAAAAAAAGAATTGTTTTGTATAAAGCTGTTAATTTTCCCARAGATAGAAGGAAAAATGGTAAGTGAAAAAGGCCTGAAGTCATCAAATACAACGAATAATATTTTATGCACTCCTGAAATGTACTAATAATTAAAAACAGGATGGGGATTTTCTAGAAGGGAGAGGTCATTCTCAACCTTAATAGGCTTCCTTTTTTCTTTTAGTCATTTAGCTTKTAAATCCTGTTGTTTCCTTAAGCAGTTATTGCATCCAAATCACAATTCACTTTTTATGAAATACATAATAATAAAAAATAAAGTGGAATAGATTTCTCAGCGATCCCAAGATCATCAGATGTTCTACTGTAACCTTCTAAGCTACAGAAATATCTCTGAAAAGGGAACTCAGCGCTTCCATTTACATAGCCCCAACCTTTTTCATTCCATCTAATGAAAAGATTCAATACCGCATTCAAACTCTTCATATAGAAAAGCCACAAAAACACCAAATAATCAGCAAAATGTTCAGGTATGATATGCACACAGTAAAGAAAGAGTAGTGATTATATACATGCAACCTCACAGTAAATTATTTTCTTTGCCTTCCTGCTCTGCTTCACAATCTTAAAGAATTTTGTTTTCTCAGCCTTGATTAGGTGTAATCTGGATGAAAAGAAACTCTAGTGATTGTTTTTGCAAAAACATATATGATGCTGTTATCTATTGCCTCACTTTTTTCTTTGAGTTTAGTTGACTTTAGGGGTTTGGAGGTAAGTTGAAACAAAACTTTAAAAATGAAAGTTCAAATTAAAAAAAAAAACCAAAAAGGTATGAGGAAAGATGGTGGTCATATTCAATATAGAAAAATATAGATGCTTATACCATACTTATATTCTAAAACGTGGTTATCTTTTTCCAAGTCAAGAAAATGGCTAAGGAGTAGCAATGACTTTATTTATATGTTCAAGGCTATCATCAGTGCCTGAGCACTAGAAACTAACTTTTTTTAGATATTTATCTCATTTATTTCATTGTAGACATGGCATCATGACTCCACTATATCTTCACACTTTTTTTTTTTTTTTAATCTACATAATATCTGTTTTGGTTGCTTTCATATCTTGTTAAAAAGTCTCTGGCAAGGCTGACAAGGATTCTATCAAGAGCATATTGGGTGATAAGGGTTTCCTTAACACCTGTGCAAAGTTTTCACACACAAGTTATATGCACTGCATATGCTTATTTTGGAAGTGATGCTCAAATGTGATTTAAATGCCCTATACTTCATAAAGACTACAGTAGACGTGACAGAGAGAGATGGTAAAATTTCCCAAAAAAGGCAGCGGAGGAAGAGGAAGATTACCCAGGTTAGCCTGAAAAAAAAAAAATAATTCCAGGGGTATACATCTAATTTTGTTATTATTGTTCTTTTTCAAAAAATAACATCTTTTTTTTTTTTTTTTTTCTGTATCATTCATGACACTATACTTGTACCTAGAGAGGAGGTAGGAGGAAAATGAGGAAAAGGTATTCACACATCCTACTTTAAGTGTCTAATTTACTTCTGCTTGGCAGTCATGCTCCTTATCTAATCACTGAAGAGAGATTTGCTGCTCCAAAGGGCAACTCAAAGCAGCTACATTAGGTCCTTTATCTGAATTGCCCCCTGAATGACAGCTGTCAAATGATTTGTCACCAACACCAGCCAGTCAATAACATTCCAAAATATCTTTCACTGAACAGAAAATGTTCTAGTAGAACTGCTTTAATGACAGAAAAAAGATTTGATTTGGCTTCTATATCGAGTCCATGATAGTGTTAATCCCATAAAAATATAAAACATCCAAAATTTCTCTCTAATAATTGTAAACACTACTTCCTTTGTCAACTTTTTGATTTATTGGAACTTATTATAGAACTAGACTTTATTGTATTTGCTTATGATACCACAGTAATCTTTTCCCAGGCTTTCACTTTATTTTGTTACATTTATCTAGCAAGCCAGATTCACACTCCCACAGTAACCATATGGAGAAAAGCCACAAAAGCTGTTAAGTACATTTAATTACTGTTTTGATGAGCTCATATTTTAATTATGTTTATTGATTCTGTGTGTGTTGAAATAGTTTTAGCATTTCAAGAAAAAAAAATGAATCAATTACTGAGTATTTTATAATTTTTCTCTGTAATTAAAACTTTCATATAATATTTTTAACACTTTTACTAATCCTTCAGCTGTGTTTGATTGCATTTCCTTCTATGTTTAGGTGAGTTTTAATTTTCATTCTACTAGTCTGTCAAACTAAGTTCAGAACCAAACATATTTCCATCAAATACTTTTTCCTTAGACCTTCCTATGAAATGAAAAATAACATGCATATGGTATTTGCTAACACAACACCAGTCATGATGCACTGGTAGACCTTCCACATGGAGCAGTGACAATAGCTCAAACTAGCCCTGTAGCCACAGCTTGGTGGTCAAGATGGCTAAGAAAGAAGTCTCCCAAAAATATCTGCTACCATCCTATTTCATTAGAGTAGTCAGTGTTTTATATAATATAGTGAAATATATTAGTTGTCCTTAAGAAGTCTATGAGCCTGTGTATTTAGGTGGGAAATTATTTAAAGTTGTTTCTGGACTTCTAAATTAACTTTGGATGAATTGAAACTTTTGAGTGATTTAAAATGGTAAAGCAGCTGCAAGGTATGGGAACGTGATCCTCCAGTGGTACAACTGGCAAAAGSTCGTTTGTTTGAATGAAGGATATTTCTAATTTCATAGTGAAAGAAAATGACTTAGGACACAACGTTTGGCTGACAGCAAATACAAACACAAAGGTAGGTTGTGGAATGAAGGGGAACCAAGTAGGCAGGCAAGCTTTAAAATATTGCAGCATATCAGGATGAAGAAAAATGTGTTTCTCTCCAAAGATCATCTCTTTTGGGGAGAAATTAAAAAAAAAAAAAAAAAGGCTTTTTTTTTGCCTACAAGTGAATTAAAGGCGATTAATCTCAGAAGCATCAGTCACAGGGTGCTCTGGTTCAGTCACATTGGTACCTGTTTGACTGAGGTGACAGGTCCTGATGAGTGGGTCCTGTGTATAGGAAGAGGTAGTATTGACAGCAAAAGCCATTTTAACTAAGACTGCTTTCACAAAACACAGCTTTTCAAAGATGTGATTGAGTTTTGAAATTACAGAATTGCTGACTGATGGTTACAGACATGATATTGTGAGCTTCAGAGCTTTCTTTTTTATTTGCTTGTAGGTTGTAATTTCAATAGTATCTTTAAAGTAGCAGTAGTGTCAGGTCACTCAATCATCAAATCAAGCTTTGCTTTATTTGCACCTGAGTATGTCATAGTGGCATTATAGTCACATTGACATAATAATAATCATCAAGTGAAATGCTTTGCAGTTCTGCTTATAAAAATGTAAAAGCATCATTTTCAGCCTTCCCATTATATTTCTGAATCTCTCACAGAACGCTCAAAGAATACTCTATTCTCTTGAGGGTAAAACTGTATTTGTTACATGGGGAGCTATTCTTAAAGTACTGTATCCTTGGCTGTTGGTTTCAGTCTTGAAGAAACTGAGAAAGTTTTATCTTTTTTGGGGAGCTCATCATAGCTCAAATCCAGGCATATAATCTTAGCAGGACTGGAAACTAGGTGCTGGCTGAGGAAAGAGAAAGGGCCTCCATCTATTTTAGTACTGCACATTGCCTGACGGTCATGAGATTACTGTGAGAAGGGGCACAATGTATGACTCCAGTGACAATAAGAGGTATCAAAAGCTGAAAGAGAATATTTATGGGAAAAAAGCACGATAGTGCTAAATGGAACTGCGTGAAAGAAAAGTAGAAAGCATAGATAGGAAGAACACGAAAACAATACATAACTGTGCGTCGGAACAATGGAGGTCATGGTTAGAAAAGTCTGAATGTCATCTTGACTCCGAGAGAAAATGCAATGGAAGAGGAAAAAGGTGAAATCGTGTGGAGGCCCAGAAAGGTGGACAGTTTATTTGTTCTTGAGAACACTTACCTTGGTTCTGGATGGCTGCCTCTGCTGCAGATAGAGGAGCCCGGGACTTTATCAGGAATCGGAGCAATTCTGCACAAGTTCCTCCAAAACTTAGGTCGTATGCTACAAAGCAGATTCCTCTGAGTTTAAAAGTGACCCTAGAGAATATTGTCGCAGCAGTAGTGGGGACAGCAGGTGAGATGTGTCAGCTGAGCTGATGACCTCGCTGAATTGAAAGGGCCTGTATTGGTTTCCACAGGTACCGGGTCTATATCTGTCCCAAGTATTTTTTTTTTTTTGGAGCATGGAAAATAAGTTTCTAATTCACTGCTCATTTGAGTTGATAGAACCATTTTGCATTGATATCAGTGGTGCTCACATCAACCCCTACACATGTTCTTTGACAACCTCATTTGCATGGAGATTCATAGACACTCCCTCCGGTCTTTTTTGCAGCATAATCCAAGCATAATTTTCCCCTTTGTTCTGACATTAGTTTTCTTTCACCATCCTTTAATAATCTAGCTTTCTTTCAGCACAAAACACACATTGCATACTTAGCTATGAAAAAATTACTAAATAGATACAATTGGGAAAATATGAAATRGAAGAAGAGATAAGTAGTCAGAAATTTTTCATCTTAAACCATAAAGGCCAGAATTTCTGCAAATACGGCATAATAAAAAATAGCTAATTCTCTTAAATTTACTTACAGTTTGTGTCAAGGAAATTCAGAGCCCAGTCCATTTTACTCCAGGGAGCATTAATTGCTTGACTTATGTCAATTGAATTCTACAGGAGAATTGACTTCTACAGGAGACAGGCAAAAGTACTTAGTTATACAGCATGCCTGCTTATTTATACACCTTACTCACTGATATAAAAGGTTTTAAATAATTTAGATTTTTAGCAGCAGTTGTAATGAAATGATTGATTAGGCTAAGAGCTTTCAGCTGCATGTTTTAGGATCTGTGTCAGCCATAACTTTAAATTTCTCAGCCTTAGCTAGTGTGATATTATTGTTATTTCAAAATACTTTTTTTGTTTTCTAAGAGAAAAAAATACCATAATAATATCCATATCATTAAGGATAATAAGAAACTTCACTTAAGAAAGGCTGCTGTGCAATCTTGGGCATATACATATATAAAAAAAAAATTAAACACCTTGCTATTTATTCATTAGACATAAAGTTCAAAAGAGCAGCTATATATCCAAAATACTCCTGAAAGATCTTTCAGACATTGGAAAAATGTGCGTATAAGCTCATATGTTCCTCAGTGTACTAATTCARTTATTTCATTTCTCTCTTTCGCTCCCTATTGTCCTCTTCCAAAGTCCCAGTTTGATAGTTTCATATCCAAAAGTCTTTTTCAGGGAAATTTTGTGAACCTCCAGATAAATGCAGGATTTGGTTGCTGACATCTTCGAATGGCCAATTTTGTTTTAATTTTGTTTTAATTAGCATCATGGTTACTTCCYCATGAAATGGGGGATAATGGAAGTTATATGACAGTCTGTCTGTCATCTTTGTCACTTAACCAAAATGAGGTAAAGAGCACAAGCAGATAGTCATCTTCTATGTGGACAATGAGATGACTTACCTACAGTTATATTAGACAGGACAAAAAAAAAAATGTATATAAACTATCAGAGTTCATGGAATAAGCCGTCTTCTGAATGACAAAAAGAAGAAGAAAATTTCTAATGGGCAGGTTAGAGCTCTCCACTGTTAGAGCTCTCCACAATATGTTTCTTGCATATTCCTGTAAGGTGCTCCAAAGACAGTCCAGAAATAAAAGACAGASACTAGAATTGTGTGTAGGATTTGGGCTCTCCCTAGTGATTTGCATCCATGTAGTTCTAYTGCTAAGAAATAATAGTCAGAAACACCATTAACAGGTCATAGTTAAGGACTGCAGTGGCTCAGAGACCCCTAAGACCTCTCTGTCCTCTCAACAAATATTGTCTCCTCACACTGGTCAACCAGAACTCTCCATTCTCTGGATTTTATCTGGAGTTCACTCGTCCTGCCATCAACCAGTTAAATTTGCAATTGCTCCTCTGAACTGCAACTAGGAGAGAGTAAAGTCATGAAAATTCAAGGGCATTAGAAGTCTTAATAATTTCACCACATTTAGCCCTTTTTTTTCCCCCATGAAATACTGAGGTCAAAGAAGGGTCAAACTGCTCAGGAAACTCTCAGTGCTTTGTCAGCACTTTTGAAGATCTGATGAATATTTTCAAATTGCTCCATTTTAATTAAGTAGTGTTTTAGGATATTTTCAAAGCACTGTTTAAACTAGCTTTAATTTCTTGTTAATTTTTGTTTGCTCCTTTGTTTATCAACAGATTAATTCATATTTACCCATTAACACATTCAAATTTACTATTACTGCGACTTATTTTTCCCAAAATAAAAGCAGAGTCTCATAAGAAGCTGGGTAACTGTAGTAACAATAATTTTGTATGGAAATAAGGTTGCAAATGGTGTAAAAACACTTTTACCATGAGAAGCTGTGCAACGATTTGCCCTAATTATTCYACATTTTAGGAATTCTTCCCCACCAGCCTACTGAGAATTCTATTTCAAGACAAAACCAGATCACAAATATTAGGTCCAATTCCTGCCACCTCACATGTCACCCCCTATGCAGGAGTAAGAAAGCTGTGTAAGACCAGCAGTAAATACAAGGCTTCCTTCTGAATGTGGGAGATTTATCCTTGATTTCCTTAATGCATTGAAAATCCCATGTCAAAGTGTAAAAGACCATGCATGGGGCCAACAGAGCACTTCTAAAAGAGTGGTGCAAAAGTGAAGGAAAATTCCAGCTAACAGGTTGACAGCTAGGAAGAACCAGTTGAACATTTTAGTGGTCCGTTAATAGGTTGTCAGCTGGCACAAATAACTGTTCCTTTTACCTAAAGGTCACTTACATTTGTACCTCACCCTCCCCCATCACCCCAGCCACTCAAAATAGGTCACTGGGGAAGGGGAAATCAGAGTGTTCTTGATTATAGGGGGAAATCAGAGAGGGTACAAAGTTTCACTTAGCTTTAGATTAGTCTAAATTAAATAGAGTGGCCTGGTGAGGGGTCTCAGCCTGTGGGGCAACCTGATAGTGAAGCTAGAATCACAGTCTATCTATGTTCTAAATTGATGGCAATGAAAATAATACTCCCCAGACACAAAAGTACACTTGTTTTCAGATTAATGCATCCTGAATGTGAGCTTTTCATCTCCTTTCTGAATGAGTTAACGTGCGCTCGTTCACCTTGGCCAGAAACAAAACTGCACTTTCATTATTTTGGAACTTATTTGTGCTGAAGTCCATAAGGCCAGTAGCTTGGGAAGATGAAAACAGCTTTCCACAGGCTCTCATTTTGGGAGAAGCTTGTGGTCCTGGGTCGCCAAACACACTCGCAGTGAAATCCTCCGTTTCCAGGTTATATTAAGCTGCAGTTGAAACAGAGAAAGTCTCACCGCTCTGAGGCTGATGCAAACTTCTGTGATGGCTCTTTGCAAGAGAAAAGGATGCATTCAAAAAAAAAAAAAAAAAAAGACAAAAAAAAAGAAAAATCCAAAAAATCAATCCATACCACTCACCGAGGAGCTTGCAAGTGTCATCATCTTGTACTAGAACTGCCTGCTTCCCCTTCTTACAGAAGTGCACGGCTATTTGCCTTTAACTGCCACATCATATGCTCATATCAATTAGCTCCTGGAGTGCATTGTCAATTAATATGTGTAATGTTACAAATCCTCTAGCTTCATTTGGTATTTTCTAATTTGTTAATAGTTCAGAATTAAAATATTTTGGGTTAATACAGTAACAAATTATTTTGGTACTTAAAGATATTGCTTTTTCATTAGTACAGCTCAGCATATTTTTCTTGCTTATCTGTGGATAGAAAATGTACAATAGAAAATACATCTTTTAAGATAAGCCTGTAACTGCTGCTCTTTCTATGAAAGGAGAAACTTTACACCAATTTTCATACAGATGTTTTTGTTACACTTATTTCAGTGTGACTTACTTTCCTTGAATGGATCAGAAAGTGGAAAAAAATATATAAAAGATTGGTTCAAACAGCCAAAGCACCATAATCAGTTCTTTACAAAGATATTTTTTGATAATGTCAAAACATATTCAAATATTCTGGTAACACCTGATTTCACAAAATATTTCAGTTCTGACAAAACTGTTTGTTGCAACAGAGCATATATGTGGTTTCATAAAAATTTCTACAATCTGCTGTTATTTTATATTTCTCATTACCAATAGGCCATTCAAATAAATGGGACATTTTAAAAATATTTCTCACTATTCTTCTGTTGGCACTAACTCTATGCCAACAACTGCCTTTAGTCTCTGCTGATAAAAACTTCCCAAGCACATCCAACATCACCACTGTGTAATCAAGTTCTATCCTTGGCCTCGTTTGTTCATACACAATCCATCCCTCTCTTCAAGCATTAATTTGCTACTGCTCTACTATCTATGTCTATGACTAAAACTTCATAATGAAGAGAACTTATGCCATGGTCTCAGAGCAAAGGTAAGGTTCCTGTTTTTCTTTCTTTTTTTTTTCCTTTTTTTTTTCCAGAATCTTTGACAAAATATAACCAGTTCATTACATTCAGCCTACCTGAAATTTTGCTTTTCCTTTTATACTGTTACCRTAAATATTATTCTTGGACACTGAATATTGCTGTGTATTTATAAGTGTCTCCTTGCTGTCTCAACAAATGGCTTACATTGAAAAGATGAAAATCCTACATTATTAACAAAATTGACTCTGTAAACTCAAAAAGTCATTATTAACCTTGGAAGAAAGACATTCGATGAGGGTGGCATTTGGTATGATATATACAGAGATAACATGCATGGAATAAACTGAAGAATTGAGAAATATTTCTTTATTCCCAAGTAAAGGAATTCCTCTCATACAGTCTCTCTGTTCAGCTGAAGAAAAACGGTATCTGGTTTTGCATCAGTGAAAACTCAGACTAGAAAAAAGAACATAACAATGAAGGACAATAAAGGGACAATGCAAATTCCTTTACTGGTAAATCACAGAATATCTTATTTTGAGATCACAAACATCATTCACAAATGTATGAACTGAAAACATTTTAAGAGGTTTCAGTAAAGCATTAATCTATTGTGATTTATTTAGAAAGTGCCCCAGATCATAGGGTACATTTCATCATTTTCTTGGCTGTAGACAAATCACCAAGATTTGTCAGGCTTATATTTATGCATTCATAAACAGAATAGATCTAAATTTAGCTTAATAAAAACATTTTGTTTCAGAATGCTTAGAATGGAGTATTTTTAAGAGTCATGTAAAACATAAGGCTTGAATCTTAACGTGATTCTTGAGTGATCTGACTTCTAACTTTTGGTTTTGCCACTTATAGATAAGGTCATGCTGTTTCTCATTCATAATCACATCCCAAACCATGGATATAGTGTTGATGACAAAGCAGATGAAACAAAATAAGGTAAAATAACCAATGTTCTCCCTCCAAACATTACTTGAGTTATTGGGGAAAATGCATACTGGTGTGTAAGAGGCAGCAAGAAGCTTTTCCTTGGATTCAGGTGGAACCTAGATATCAGCATTGATACTGGGAAACCACTATGATCTAAATGATCCTACCCAGTTTATTCCTTTGGACTTCATTTTAGCAACGCTTAAAATAAAAACTGTGCTCACAAATAAAAATGTTAAGACTTTTGACCTCACTGGAGCTTTTGAATACTGGTTAATTTTAAAAATCTACCAGTTAAACATGAATTATCATTTTACTTACGGAGTACT